TGTCCGAACGTATCTCCTTCTACGTCCGTCCCACCTCAGAGTTTAAAATCTTCTGGGGAGACCCTACTCTCAGCCCCGCCTCTGTCTCAAACACGTTTGGTGGGGATGAGGGACAGGGCCTTCTCGGTGATGGTCCCCTGCCTGTGGAATTCACTTCCCGGGGAAATTAGGTCATCATCATCCCTCCTCACCTTTAGAAAGAAGGTAAAAACATGGATGTGGAACCAGGCCTTCGGGCAGTTAGGTTAAAGGACAATTGATAATGTTGACTATGGCTTGGAAATGGATTTGGATAAGTTAAGTGGAGTACTCAATATTCTATGGCTAGATAAATAGCCACCAGACTGGTAATAGCTCAAGGGACTGTAGGTATACTGTTTCAGTCTTTATGTCTTAATGTTTATACTTTTAACTGTTATAATTGCTGTTGTATTTTATTATGCAGCATCAAATTGTTGCCAATTGGAAGCCGCCCGAACTGGGTTTTTTGGGGAGGGGGTTGCTTCTGTAGATTAGTTCTATGATTCACTGATACTTCTTTTGCACTTACTTTTGAGTAAGACTTGTGTGGTTTTCAAGGAATAGGACTCCACCTGATAGATTTGCCTTGAAAAGTCTGAAGAAATTTTGAGAGAAACATTTGTAGACACCACTAGTGTTGACATGTTTCTCTCCATACAGAATGTATGGCATTCTTAGAGGATCCATAACCCCCACAAATTCTGTTTTGACCGGGATTGTGAGAAATAATAAAATCTGTATATTGATTTGAAAAGAGAAAATCGGTGTGCTTTTAAAATGTAGTGACTATAGTTCGAAAGGTCAAATTCAGTCCTGGGAAGTTTTTTGAAAGTAAAATAAATATCTTACAGCAATTATCTCTTAAACACGGTGAAGATGTTTCAATTTTATTAAGATACCTTGTTCAAGATTACCTCCCTTAATACAGAAGCTAAAAAATCCATATTTAGATACCTACACAGACTTCAGACTCTCTGGACTCCTCTCCAAAGCTGTCTTATATCCAAATATGGAGTTAAGATTCAGCTTTTGTGTTCTACATCTCTTTCTTTAAAAGACTATACCTCAAAGATAGTTGACATGAAAGAGATAGCTGAAGTCCATATTTATACAGCAAAATAAAAAGCAATTAAATGTTAAGGACAGCTTTCAAGCAAGTTATAATCCTTAAGGCAGTGTTTTCCTAAGGTTTTGAAACCTGAAGCCAGGCTTTATGGGGGTAAAACTTAAGGAACATTTCATTATTCATTTAAATTATCCTCATGTACTTTTGTGCTTTAATGGCTCATAAAAGCACATAAAATTGAAGGAATGCAACATTAAAAACGCATTTTTACAATCTGATAAAAAACTACACAACTAAGTAATAGTAGTATTTCTTCCATACTGTACAAAAGGTCCAAATTTTGTGACCCTGCACCCCTTTGAAGAGTAACATTTGAAAAGGGGAGAGCTGCCACTACTGATGGAGATGCTGGAAATCAGGGGTTCCAAATCGGGTGGAAAGCCTCCAAACTTAGTGGGGTCTGCCTTCTTCAAAAATGTACCCCTCCCCCTTTGTAGGGGTCAATAGAAATCGTGGTGGTGGGAGGCAGAGCTAGCATTCTCATTGCTTGTGTGAGCAGCATAAATATGGAATGCCTTTAGGAGGTTGCCTGCAAATGAATTGGGAATCAGTGCTGCATTATGCAACATCGTTCTTTTGTGTAATGCAGCGATGGACAGAGTAATTGCAGTAAACACAATTATGTCCTGGGGTGGGGTGGGGTGGGATGGGATGGAGAGATTCTTTTCTTCTGTTGGGAATGGGAGCGGGAGTGCACAACACAGAAAATCCAAAAAGGATATTAAAATGTAAGTGTTCAACGGAAGACCTGGGCAAGGCCGATTACAGTTAGCCAGTCGCAGCTCAGAGACTGCAGTGGATGGGGATGAGAGGGAAAGGATAAATAAATGAGCCTTGTTTTTGACAGAAGGTGGACATGGAGACAAGGAAAAGCTGTAATAGAGATAGCACAGTTAGGGCTCTTCCCGACAGACCAAAAACCTGAGAGAAATCAGCATTTGACATGTGGATTTGTCTTGGGTTTGTGGCCAAACTGAGACCCCAAACCCCACGATTTTGGCTGGGATGTGTGTTTGGCCAAATTTCCTCCCAACATCAGCATAGAGGGATGTGGCCACTGCCCCCTGTCCTACTTTGCTCCCTTTTCTATCTTTAAACAACATAAAATTAGAGAATTCCCAAGGGTGGAGGTTTCAAAGCACTCTGTTGCGCCTGGAAATGTCAGAGCTTTCGAGAGGGGAGGACATGACACAACCCTCAAAAACTCAGTTGTGTCATGTCCAGGCTCAAAAGCACCCTTTAAAGCCTCCAGTCAACTGTCTAATTTTTATGTTGTTTAAAAGTTGAAAATGGGGTGAAGGAAAGGGGGATGGCATTGCCATCCCTCCTTGGTGGGCTGTTTGAGCCCATGGAGGCGGGACCACTGTGTGGACTGTTCCTGAGATCATGGATATCTATCTCAGGAATAGTCTTTACCAGCTACACCTGCAAAGATCCGGACCTTATTGAAAGGTCCATCTCTATGTAAGTGTTTTTTTTTAATCCGGAGTAAACCTGGAAATCCACTTTTACTCCAGGTTAAATCAGATTAGCCTGAGGCATTGTTGAACTCCTCAGGCTAATCTAGAACATGGGCTTTAGGCCTGTGTAGATGGGTCCTTAACTAGGAAGAGGCACTAAATCTCGAGAAGTGGATTAAAAGGAACCAGAGCACCTTCATAAAAACCCCAGGAATAGTTTCAGACTGGAATGGTGGCCACACAGTCTACTGAACCTTGGAAAAATAATATAAATTCAGTCCATGAGATGTGCTGTTGGTGCATCTCCATGCCCATTTGGAATCAGTGCTGGACTATGACAGGGCAGAGAAAGTTAGAACAAAGGCAGAAAGACAGAGTCACTGTTGGATTTCAAGGGATTTCCAGTTCCATGTTTCCTTTTCCGCATGTGTCGTGATTCCAAGTTTTGAGGACTGTTACTGAATCTTATGTTTTGAAATTAATCTGCTTTTGTATTCCTGGTATTGATGCTACTCCTGTACTTTGATTTCTGAGGATTATTCCTGATATTTGGACTCCGGTTTTTTATACTATTTTGCTGAATTGCTTTTCATATATATTCTTCAATAAACTGCTTTGCTATTTTAGCTTGGACTGGAATGTATGTTAAGTACAGAGGTGGTTCCCAGTCTTGGAGTGCAACAGTTTCACCGATTACACTTCATTTGCAACATCAATGAATAGTTATGAAAGAAATTCACAGAGGATAAGGATGGAAGGTAGGTGAACCAGGATAGTATAGGGGTTTGAGTATTAAATTATGACCAAGGAGACCAGAGTATGATCCCTCACTGGCCCATGGAAACCTATTTATTTTCTTTCTTTATACCCCACCTTCCTTCCTGAGAGGACTCAAGGCAGCTAACGTATTATGTGACTTTGGGCAAGTCACATATAATCAGCCCAAAAACCTTATTGGCAGGGTCATTCTGCCTTTTTTATATATATAAGTAGGAGCGCCCAGTGAGGCAGTGGGTTAAACCCCTGTGCCAGCAGGGCTGAAGACCAATAGGTCGCAGGTTCAAATCCAGGGAGAATGCAGATGAGCTCCCTCTATCAGCTCCAGCTCCTCATGCAGTGACATGAGAGAAGCCTCCCACAAGGATGGTAAAAACATCAAATCATCCAGGCATCCCCTGGGCAACGTCCTTGCAGACGGCCAATTCTCTCCTCACACCAGTAGCGACTTGCAGTTTCTCAAGTTGCTCCTGACAGCAATATACAGAGTGAGGCAGCGTAACTTCCTTTTTTCAAAACTTAATAAAACCCATTGTATGAATCAGAAATTTTTATTTTTTTTATAATGTAAGCGCATACCTAAAGTTTTGTTTTACGTAGTTTTGAAGATCAAATAGGTAGGTGACGTCCCCCATTCTCCATACACTGCGTAAACCGATTTCTGGCGTTTGTCATGACTCTTGCCAGCATAGCAGGCGTTATGTTGGCAGTTTCTTCCTAGATGTTGGTCTTCAAATCTTGTAGGGTCCTTGGACGGTTCACATAAACACGGGATTTCAAAAATCCCCATAGAAAAAAATCACAAGGGGCCAAATCTGGAGAGCAGGCCGGCCACTCCAAATTCTCTCGAAAAGTAGGCCTCAACGGCAAAAGCACGCTCCTCACTGTTCCAACATACCTCACTGTTCCAACATACCATAATTCAGTTTAAAGCTCTCCTGATCAGATTTGTGAGACTATTCACAAAAATATTCCTGTGAACTGTTGTAATGTATAGTCACTTACCAGAGGCCCATCCTTACCTGCTCTGGTTCAAAATGGATCTAGGAACTGCCCCCTTTTTCACCTACGAAAAATGAGTGAAATTACCATACTTAACTGACCCATGGATAATTTGATCTGGGATTAGTGGGTTAATTTTTTTACTTACTTTTCTAGCTTACACACAAGTACATAGGGTAAACACACATATATTTTGCTCTTTGTCCTTAAAAATATCAAGATACTTTATGTAAAATATGTTATATCTGATGGGTGAACTGAACATAGTAGTGTGAGAATGGTGTCTGCAAGTTCCTGTATGCTTGCTTTTTTTAAGTGGCTGAAAAATAATAAAATACATCGCTCCAGCCAGTTTTAGGAAAAGAAGGCCAGCACATATCTTGGTGTCCACGTTCAACTTTCTACAGTTTTCCTTTGCATTATAGGAATATAATCGCGTACCTCACATTTCAAGCGTATAAATAGTTAAACAGTGCTTGACATTTAAATGTGATTTTGGTGCACTTGTATAGTAATGATAATCCTATTAAAGATCTTATGTCATGGGGGAGGGGGAATGTGTGCAAGGCGCAAGGCACGCTTTGATTGGCTGGGGAAGCAGAAGGGGAGAGGCTTTTCAAAGCTGAGAGGAGGCCTTGCTTGATATTGTTAGAACAGGGATTTCGGTGGGAAATGCCCAGAGGTTGCAGTTCTTGATGATCTCATATTGACGGCAGCAGCACAGTGCTGAGTGAGCAAGGGTGACCTGAGCTGAATGGGAGGAAAGGAATGGTGGAAAGAGAAGCAGCAGCAACAGCAGCAGCAGCAGCAGTGTGTGGAAAAGCAACAGCCAGAGCAAAGGAGAGAGAGGAGCCGAGAGAGGGGAAAGGGCTTGCTTAAGAGTGCCTGCCAGGTGTACTGAAAAATCAGGCCGTTTGTGGGAATGAATACAAGGACTGTTTCACTGCCTATAGATCAACGCTTGTCCTCGGACTGAATTTGTGTAGGGCGCACGCAGGTGGGGGGAGGGTGGCGGAGAGCTTGACAGCTCTCTTGAATACAATGCTAAGTTATGCATAATGATTTGGCAAGACAGCCTGGGAAATGCTGCCGCTGCATGAAATGCTTTCATGTAAATCCTAGTTACGGATGCGTATAAGACAAGTGGCTTGGATATAAAGGTGAAGGGGGGGAAGAAAGGCAAGGAAGCAATGCAGGGAATGTCGTAATAAAGGTCTGCATTGGGTCGTCTCCTCGAAAAAAGGAGGGGGTGAAGCCACGAGAAATCAGGCTCATGTGGATGGTGGCGTTGACATGCGGTTGGGCTGAATTCTGAGAGATGCTAGACATTAAATCTGACAACTCTGCGCAGAGAGACCATGGAGAAGTCAAGTAGCGAGGATTCCTCAATTCACCGGAGTCCATCTTTGGATAGCAAGGACTCAGACTTTGCTAAACCTTCTACCTCAGGCAGGCAGTTTGGCCGAGGCTTCACTGCTGGAGCTTTCTACGGTACCGCTGGATCACGCACAAAGAACCAGAATACGGCCCCCACCGGGACTGGTGGACAGAGTGACAAATGCAATGCACCTAAAGGCAGCAAATACGTAGTCTTTTACCTGGATTTATCATTTGTTTTCCTTTTAGAATTTAAGAAGTGCAGCATGGCGAGAGGCTGCTTGTGTTGTTTGAAATACATGATGTTCCTTTTCAATCTAATATTCTGGGTAAGTTGTGCTTTTTTTCTATTGTCTTCATTTAGAGCCCCTCTCCTACCGCAATGTGAGCCCAGTAAATCTTCCAAAGCTTAACAGTAAGAAGTACTGTCTCCTTGCCTTGATCTGAATGGAAAATGTATAATGTGACATACATATTATGTGCTCTAAAGGAAAAAGAATGCTCAATTCTCATCCATTTCTGGCTCTCTTACGAGATTGGTGCAGAGGGAACAGAGTTGTTCTTCTAGCCATGCTATTTAATGTTGGTAGAGTGGTATTGTTTGCATTTGTTTAAAAACACAGTGTAATATTAAATTATACTTAATATCTCAGCTATTCCCCATGAGTTATGAATAAGTTATTTTCAGTTTGAATGAGGTTTAGACTTTTTCATTTATTGATAGTTGTTTTGAAGCAACCTGACCCTTAATGTTGTAAGCGCATAAAATGAATGATTTGGACTTCACTTAAAATTGCTTTTGCTCACACTGGTATGTTAACTTGGTAAGCAGGAGAGACCACAGTGTGCTATGCTGTGGGAACACAATCGATTCTACTTCATCAGCCACCCAGGAGGCGTGTGGAGCTGCAACCGAGCTTCAGTAAGCAAAATCTGAGAGCTCGGGCTATGATTACGACCCAAATTATGTCACTTGGAAAATCAGGCTGCTCATGCCAGTCAAAATAATACCTTTGACTTTTAAAAGATTCAGGTATGAAGGATTAAAAAAAAACCTAGAAGTATATTCCTATGAGGGGAAATATTCAAGGTCTTCCTTTATTTGTAAAATGTTGTTAGCCAATTGTTTCCCTTTTACAGTCTGTTGAATTAGAGTTGGGAAGGCATCTTTGTTTTTTGGCAGCTGGCTTTTCTCTTAAGCTGACCTATTTTATCTTTTGAACATGGGGGACTGAATGGGGCACGCCAAGCCCCAAGTCCCCAATCTGTGAGCTTCAAGTGTAAGTGGAATAGAAGCAAGCAAAAGATTCTGCTTTAGAGAGAATGATCTGGGCTGCATGTGCCACTGTGTGTAGTGGGTTGAGTGTTGGACTGACTAGGACTCCAAAGCACTGGGATTTGAATCTTTCTCTGTTCAGCCATGGAGACCCACTGGATGACCTTGTGTAAGTCACACACTTGAGTGCACTATCGCACGGCACTTTAAAGAATAGGTATAGTATGTGCATCCCACTTTAATTTCTATGGCTGCCTCCTGGAGAATTCTGGGGTTTGTAGTTTAGGGTGGAAGTCTTTAAAATCCTTAGCTGGAGAGGTCCTGGATCTCACTAAACTACAAACCCCAGAATTCTGCAGGAGGCAGCCATTGGATTTAAAGTGGAATGCATATTCTGTGCCTGCTCTTTAAGTTGTAGTGTGATAGACAGTGCCAAACCTTCTCTGAACAAATATTATCGAGAAAACCTCATGATATGTTTGTTTTAGCATTGCCATTATTTGGAAATAACTTTAAAGTGCACATCAACAACCAAACTGAATGTTTTCCCAGCGAGGATGCTCTGTTGTTGTTTTAAAATTTATTTATTTATTTATTTATTTACTGTATTTGTACAGGATTTGTATATTTGTATACAGGAGCCCCCGGTGGCGCAGTGGGTTAAACCCCTGTGCCGGCAGGACTGAAGACCGACAGGTCGCAGGTTCGAATCCAGGGAGAGGCGGATGAGCTCCCTCTATCAGCTCCAGCTCCTCAGGCGGGGACATGAGAGAAGCCTCCCACAAGGATGATAAAACATCAAATCATCCGGGCGTCCCCTGGGCAATGTCCTTGCAGACGGCCAATTCTCCCACAACAGGAGCGACTTGCAGTTTCTCAGGTCGCTCCTGACACAACAAAAAAAAAAATTGTATACCGCCTTTCTCAGCCCACAGGCGACTCAAGGCAGTTTACAGGCAACAATTTGATGCACACAATATCATAAATACAATTAAAATATTAATATATGTATAATATAAAACCATAACAAATCAATAAAACAAAAATCATTAGCGTAAAACACATCTCTTTGACTGTTGCAGTGCTTTATTACCATTCATGGAATACTAGAGCTATAAAGTAACAGAACAATCTATTAATGATAGAGTGTACAGTGAACATTTAGCTGTTACTGCTAATGCCAGTCAGATCCAGGTCACGTGGCAGAACGGTGTCACAGAGGGTGCCACTGGGTCAGAGAATCCCACAATCTAGGTAAGGCCTCTTGCTCTCTTCCGTTGTTCCTCTGCTGGAGTTGGCAGATAGGGAAGGCCATTGCTTCTGATTGTAAGGCATGGAATGGTTAGTAGAGGAGGAGGAGGCAGTCCCTGAGGTAGCTTGGACTTACTTAGTGCTTTAAAATTAATCATCAACACTTTGAATTATACCAAGAAACAAATGGGTGACCAGTTCTGCTGGTGTAGGCTAGGTGCAAGGTGGCACTCATACTCCTTTACCATTTGTTGCTGTTATCCCTATGGACAGCAGAAAACCACCACATCTATTTCTACGAGGGTTGAATAAAAAATAATGCCTCCACCTTCGTAACTCCTCAACAGATGGCAGGTACTGGCTTATTCAGTAGATTCTCCTCTACAGTTCCATTTTGGCGGGAAGCCTTAGCATTGAACGGTTGCAAAGTATGGAACCCTGTGCAGACGGTTGGTCAATGCGATTTAAGCAACATGCAGTCATTGAATTCTTGACAGCAAAAAGTGTCATCTCAACATCTTTAAACTTACTTGCCCAATGATGCATCGTGCTCACATCAACACAATCACCATAAACAGCTTGCATTCTCTGATGAATCTCCTTCATTCAACCCTCGTAGACTCACTTAGTGATGGGATTTGGGGCCTATGATTTCACAGCATTGCGTTATATGTCTCAAGTTATTTTAATATCATGTATTAGCTGCCTTAAGCTACATGGAGGTAGTAAAAAAACCCATGATGCTTCAATGTAGTTGCACTGGGAACATCAATTCTAGTTTGCACACTCATCATGAACAACCATATTTTCTAGCTTTATGGTCATCATATGAGAGAAAGGCTAAAAGGCTTCCTCATTCAATGTGTATTTCTTAGGAACCATGGCGGGAACTATGCACATGGCTGGTAGGGTTCTTTGAAGTTTTTGCTTAAACACATAGCTCTTTTGAAGAGGCACACTGGTTTTCAGTTTAAATGATGTAGCTCAAATGAAGCTACCCTTTCCAGAATGTTACATACATCTATATAGCAATACACATAATAATCTGTATGTGTGTATGTGGCATGGGTGTCCATTTACACAGACCGGCTCCTGCCTCCACAGACAGCTACAACTCCCAGTGCTGAGGAGCCACCAATGGCCCTCCCTCCAAGGAACATGGCAGGTTATAACGGGCGCCACCAACATGTCCAAGAGCCCTGCCAATGTCCTTCACAAACACCATACTGCCCACCACCCAAGTGAAGGCTTTCATATGGGGACAATTTCCTTATAGATTTTCCTCTTTTTCCTCCACCAAAGACACTTCCCAGTGTTCCTTTCTCTTTCCATTGCTGTGGAATTTGCATGACCCTGCCCACTGCCTCTCCCTTAATCCTTTCCTACCCCTTCCTATGGCACATAGAAAACAAAGAATTTATCAACTGTTGAACAGCTAAACATACTGGAGGGGTTTGGGGAACTGACTCAGCATGATGGAAGTTGTAGTTCACCCTGCATCAAACCACAGCACCGTGACCTCCACCGACAATGGACCTGGACCACATTTGGCACACAGAACCCTCATGACCAGGCATGTAGCCAGGGGAGGGGGGCTTGAGGGGCTTCAGCCCCCCCCCCCCTAAATTCTCCGGGTGGTCTGCAAGAAGGCCCTACTGGTACATTATTTAAACTTATATTGATTCATATCATGATCTGATCGCCATGCTTAATATGTCCCATATGAATGGGGGTATTGGGATAATGATACAAAAGGTTAGCTAGGGTAGATCCTCAGCCCCCCCTGAATCAAACTCAGCTCCCCCCCCCCAAATTAGACTCAGCACCCCCCGAATCAAAATACTGGCTACAGGCCTGCCCATGACCAACCGAACATACTGTAGGAATTTGGGGGGAATTGGCCTTCACATTTGGGAGTGGTAGGTACTGGGATTTATAGTTCCCCTGCAATCAGACAGCACTCTGATCCCCATCAACAATGAACCTGGACCACATAGAACCCCTATGACCAACTGAACATACTGGAGGGGTTTGAGGGAAGTGACTTTCATTTCTGGGAGTTGTAATTCAGCTATATCCGAAGACATTGTGACCTCCACCAACAATAGACCGGGACCAAACTTGCGGGGAAGTGACCAGACTGAGACCAAACTTGGCACATGGAGCCCCCATGACCAACTGAACATACTGGAGGTGTTTGGGGGGAACTGACCAGATCGGGACCAAACATGGCACACAGAACCCCCATGACCAACTGAATCTTCTGGAGGGAATTGAGGGGGAACGATCCACCGTGGTGGGAACTGTTGTTTACCCTCTAGCAAGAGAGCACGCTGAGCCCCACCAATGATGAATCTAGAGAGCAAATTTGCCCAACATGACAAACTTTAACCAAGGATGGAGTTTCTGGGGGTTAACCTGGCATGATGTGGGTTGTAGTTCACCCACAAACTTATGCATTTTGGACTGTAAAAAATGACTTTTTCAAATAACCCAGGCAATGCCGGGTACCCAAGCTAGTTTAAAATATTTCTGAGCTACCAGGACAGAGCACAAGGCTTGCAAAAATGGGTATATTTTCAATGTGTATTTTGGAAAACAAGAATATCCATAACCTTTTGGAGAAAAATGGCATTCATAACCATTTGAAATCATAACCTTTTCTAAAACATGATCTTCTAGAGATGAGACAAAAACTCTTTTGAGCAAAATCTTCTCTTCAGTGGTATGTAACCACATGTACTTATGCAAGGCAATTTGGTTTCCAGTTATTAGACTAATAGCCTAGTTGTCTCTGATCTG